ATTAATATATTAATACAACCATTGTACATCAAGTCCCTGAAAAAATTTTGATGAAGCAATCTTTAATTAAGGGTAAAGTGTGGTTTCCCAATACTTGCTTGATGTTAGTAGTCCTTAATTTATGCCAGCTGATGGATTAATAACCCTTCCAGTAATAGAAAAAGTAAACACAGAATACAAGATTTATTTCCTGCTAACATTCCAACCACTAAAAATAAAAAAATAAAAAAAACAGAGCGTTTATCTGGACCGGCCCCCATGCGAGTGCCCTCTAGTGGATGGAAAAGGTATTACATATACAACCCTGCTTTCAAAATTACACTTTGGTGTTACCTGTTGCAGAAAGCTAGTGTATTTTTCCCCCTCTGCTTTTGAGTTTAAAAACATTAAACATTTAAACTGAGTTTATCATAGTACACACTGGCAATGAGAGCTGTGAATTATATGAAGTCCACCAAAAAAAAAAAAAAACATTAGATCTATTTTCAGCCCAGTTGATGTGGTACATTAGTAGCTCCTGCAGTTCTACTTCTCTTAAAATGTGGCTTTTGTTGAAATTAACTGGATAGAAACGGCTTGGAAATAAACATCATTACAGTATTTTTTTTACTTTTATTTACTTCCAAAGAAATTCTTAACAGTAATTGTTTGAATACAGCTGCAATAAGTACAAAGACAAATTAAAATTTGGAAAAACCATCAAACAAATTTTGCACCAATAATTAATTGTGCAAATAATAAACTTTGACACAATATAACTATGTTTTATATATCATGGTGGAAAATTAAGAAAGATAGATTTGATGAGGGATTAAAACAAGAAATCATATAAAATGCAACAGATAAAATACAACTATGTGGAGTGTAATACATAACTATGACTCATCCTTTTAAGTACTGTTAGAATAAAGCCCTATTTGCAAAGGATAAATATTATCTGGGACCCCATGTGAAATGAATCACTTCCCTGCTCTGCTTTTAATGTGGTGTGTTCATATGGGTAACCAAAGATGAACCTTTTGCTGAAATTTACTGACATCTCCTGGAGATGACGTTAACATACAAAGGTTTGAATCTTACAGCACAATTCAATGAATGATGATCCAGAATTTGCATCTGATATTTCCTCCTTTCCTGCAGAAACAACTGCCTCACGTTTCATAAAACGGTACAAACAGTAGGACCCAAAAATTAAATAAATATTAAACTACTCTGGAAATGTGGTCCAAAATGTACAGAAACATGTACAGTTTAATGAATGACATGAAAAAAGTTGTATACTTATGCATTTAAAAGTTAACCTTGACATCCCTGATTGCAAGATATTTTATTAATTGTAATATCTTTTTTATGTTAAATTTGCATCTTAACACCATGCAGATGCAGTTAATAATAAACACTCTGGTCTGCATCTATCCAGTTTATCTTTAAATGTTTCTAAAAAAAATTCGATATGAAAATGGCTAAAAGTAAAATCAGTACCTGTCCTGGGGCAACTTTACCACAGGTCTGTAAAATCCCTAATATGTTTGCATTTTGAAGGTTATTCTTTTAAGTACAGTATACAGGAAGGAACATGACATCATAGACTAGAAACATCCCACAGTTTTATTGTATAAAACATTACAAGCAGCTGAGCAGCATTCATAACATTCAATAAAATGTTTGTGAGAATTCTTACTACACTATTTTTCGTTTTTCAAATCCAGGTGTCCAAAAAACACTGACAATAAAAAGGTGGGCTGGTACTTTGTTGTCGTACAGTACATATTGTTAGTGCACAAAAGTTTTATTAACCGACTAATTAAGGAAGAAGAAACACAGGAGCTTTAATCTACTACAATAATAGGTTAATAGTAACTATTTGGCAAAGAGAACAAATGAATGTAGATGTTAATCTCAATCTCACACGGGAGGACATATTAAAGGTTTTTTTTTTTTTTTCGATACAAAAAATAGATAATATAAACAATATACAAATACAACATAAATAACTAAGCAATCCATCCCTGTGATTGTATTACATATCATTTGTCACAATGACCATCGAAGGCAAATCAACGAGACGACGAGGCTCCTGCAGGTGTTTGTTTCTTCACGCGTTGGAAGCAGCGGCTGAGTTTAAGGCTGAGCTTCGGCCTCGGGATCGTCGTAGATGTAGCTGCCGACGCCGCCGGTGTTCACACCTGAAAAAAGAGGAGAACTTCAGAGGAACACTTCAAACTTCAGGGTTAAAATGAATTACAGCGTTAAAATATTCATGATTTTAAACTACAGGGATCATTCTGAATCCCTCTGGACTCTAAATTAATCAGTTTTATGATCATAAATTAAAATTAATAAAATACAGGGTGGTTATTCTTTCCTTGCCAGTAATAATAGTCGCATTTTGCTTTGTATGGTTCAATCACACGATTCTTATCCAGATGCACCTAAAATAGTTCACTGCTTTATTGTTAACGAGTAGTTCTCTATATTAGGCAGTTAAAACTTCTCCATTCTGATATCCCGATACTTGTCGTCATGGTTACTGATTGCCCTGCAATTAGACTCTTCTGTGCAATCACTGCTACTATGTTATTCGTATTTTGAGTAAGATTTTTGCTTGTTTGCATAAAGAACAGAAATAACAGATGTCTGCTAACAAAACCAGGCTATTGGTGTCAGTTTTGAGTCTTGGGTTGATCCAGAATAACACAAATCTTTAAGAACCCATTTGGAGAAGCGGCAGTGGTCGCCATGATAAGTGCTGTCCGAATAGAAGAAATGGAAGCAGGAATCTTCCTATCAACAGTTTGGTTAGCAAAGAGAGGTTGCTATATTCCTGTAGCTATATTGTTTCCCACAATCCTTTGCATAATAGGACATATAGGCACATTCCACTTAATGGAGTTGAAAAACAAAAAAGTTATTTAATGAGATGTACTGTGTGAGACATGCTAAGATTGTCGCGTTTGCAACATTTGCATAACTTTTGTTTTGTTGCATTTCTTTTCTGCGAGCTGTAGTGCCAATATGACTAACATCATCCATGTGCGTTTCCATCCTGTAATGATGCCATAAGGCTGAAGGCTGTCTGAATTCAGCACAGCAGTCTGGAGCTCCGTTCCTACCCTGGATAGTGCTCTTACTGATGACCACACAAGAGGAGAACAGATAGGAGATAAGAACAGGAGGTAGGAACTATATAAGCTGGAATCAGACAGGGACTGTAGCCAAGGGGTGGCCAAAGGTTGGCTAAGAAAGTCTTTAACCTGTTATTGGCCACACCCACCAGGTGGTATGTGGTGGAAGTAGCTGACATGACGTCTACTTTTAGTGAATCCTGGAACCTCCACAGCAGCTGACCAATCAGTGATTGTGTCCTGGTGTTTAACTGCCTTCAACTGTAGGAGTGTTCTCTGGTAAAACACCCAGGATTTAGCATTAGGGAGGTAAAGTGGACATGTAAATTAAAAAAAAGATATCTAATAACAAAGAATATCTGTTTAATGGCACTTTTTGTATTATTATTTTTGGACTGATATGAGTGCACACATTTGTACATCCTATGTCTCTGTAGATCACTGTCTATGGCCCAATCCCAAACAATCCCTTAAACAATACCCCTTAGCTATCGTGTGTTATCTTCTTTTGAGCCCATTTTTCTGAATTTTGAATGCTTTGATGTTTATTTTTTTTATTTTTTTTGTACTTTGGGAAATAAATGGATATTTTTTGTACAGCTTTGTCCTTTGCCTCATTGCATAGTCCTTTACATAAGGCAACAAATCTTTTTTTTTTTCATAGTAAAATTGTTTGCTTAAAATTGTTTAACTTGGAAGAAGCTTGCATTGCTTAATTAATTACTAATAAGTTTGCTAATCAACTGTATTTTAGGCAAAGGGCTTAATGCAAATATTCATTCACAGCCTAATTATAATTAAGATAAAAAATTTATTTTCACCCTATCTTTTAAGGACTTTATTGACTCACCTGCTTCTGTAACAACAGTAATCAAACACCGCTTCCCTCACAGCCCACAGACAGTGTGCCTCATTATTCCCCCTCTGACTGGGAAAAGTGTGGGCTTTAACATTGATTTGAAAATTTGCCTCATTAATGCTTCAGGTAAGTTTCCTCTCTGGTTCCATTAAATCTAGCCTGAGTTTGTCAGTGTTTTGATTTCACTGGCTTGCATCTCCTCGTAGGCGAAGTGTTTTAGCCGATTGCTTCATGTCAATTCAGCACCTCTGGAAACAGATATGTCCTTCTAAAACTGAGGATGGTGGCAGTGATACCTTCAAATAAATGTCCTAATTTTAATTTTAACTTTTATTTAGTATATTAAACATTAAGGACCACAACAAATTAGTTATGTATTGTTTACATTATTTAGTCATATTAAAACTAGCAACTACAGAATAAATGCTTTTTCCAGAACTAGATTGTGTGTATTATGGGGAGAAGGGGAAGTTATGTGTCTCTACAAGCGATGTTAGTTCTCTGTAATGAGAAACAAAGAACTGCTGATTAATATATGTGTATTTTTATTATCAAGGTCTTTGTGAAAATAAAGTCTGTTTTCAGTAATTTAATTGGAAAATTTGGATTTTGAGCTTATTCATTTTTGGATCAATTAATGCAGATTGACAATGAACTGGTTTTGGTCTCTACCAGTTTAGACCCCCCCTCAGTGAACAGTGGTTCCTGCATGGGCAGCAACATGAGACCTTTCTGTATTTGCCACATCCTTTCCACATTCTTTGCTTATTC